AAAAGAATTTCAAGGTGTTTTCTCCCGCTCATCTTCTGATGTATATCGAACCAGTTTCACACAGCAGAGAATTGATACACAGGATCATCCACCAGTCAAGCAACATCCAAGATGTCTACTGATTACTAAACAGGAAGAGGTAGGAAAACTTCTAAAGGACGTGCAAGAAAGCCTCGTAATTGAGCCTTAAGAAAGTCCTTATACTTCTCGTATCGTCCTGGTATGAAAGAAATGTGGTTAGACTTAAGATTTTGCATTGACTATTGCCATTTAAACAGTCACAAAGAAAGATAACCCTCTTCCTAGAATTGGCGTTCTGGGCTCTCCTTCTGGAAGCAAGTGGTTTTCGATGTGAATTTAAAGAATGGATATTGGGAGGTAGATACACCCTGATGACTGAGAAAATAAGGCATTTACTGCTAGACAAGGACTTCAGCAATTCAGTGTGATGCTGTTCGGATTATGTAATTTTCATGGAGACTGTGTTGAGAGGTCTTTCCTGTGAAGCTTCTTTGATATACCAGGATGACATCATTATCGTCGGGAAGATTTTAAAAGGGATTTAGAAAATATTAGGAAGGTGCCGGAAAGAAATTGCAGGAAGCCAGTCTAAAATTAAGCCCTGCCAAATGTATATTGTTCAGACAGAAAGTGACTTACCTAAGACATGTTTTCTGTGCTAAAGGTGTGTGTATGGATCTAAAACAAGTGTTGGTATCTGAAGATTGAAGATGCCTCAAAAATGTCCATCGGCTGGGAAATTTTCTGGAGTTCTGCACCTAACATAGGAGATTTGTAAAGAACTTTTCTTCCATTGCAAGACTCCTTCACAAACTGACAGAGAGCAAACAAAGTTCTTGAGTGTGAGAATGCATTAAGAATCTGAAGGAGGCTTTAACATCTCCAACAGTTCTGATATAGCCTCAACTCAACAGACCATTTATTCTTGACATGGATGCGAGCAATAAGTGTTGGTACAGTTTTGTTCTAAGAAGTAAATGTCAACTTTACTTCTTAGAACTTACTTTGTCATGCATACTGAAACAGTCGTCTATCTAAACTGGAGAAGAATTACAGCTGTGAAACATTTCCTCTGCAGCAAAAAATTCCTGCTTCACACAGATCATGCATCAATGACCTGCTTTTTAAAGTTCAAGAATCCTAATGGCCAAATAACCAGACTGATACTGAAACTTCAGCAATATAACATCACTATCTGTAATGGGAAGGGATAATGACATGGAAACAGCAGCGCTGTGCCCAGAAAGCTGCCAATATTATTCCAATGTTGAAGCAAAATACGAGCTGCTTAATTAGATCATATGTCAAGTTACGAATTCAACAACTTCTGACCCAGACATATGAAATGATGAAGAAGTTAGGAGAGACCAGTTGGGAGACGACGAATAATTGCCTTAATTTATTCTTTAAACAAGAAACGTACCTGGCAAGACATTTCGATCTATAGTTCTGAGACAAAACAATAGTGGGATCTTTGAGTCTTGCTCCATATTCAAAATGGCGTCTTTTACTGGAAGTACAAATCGGATGACGGAAAGGCATTCCATTGGCAGTTGATACTTCCATGTTCCTCGACACTTTTAATGATTTACATAGCAGTCAACAGGGAGCCACTTCGGAATAATGACGACTCTTTATAGATTCCAAGAGTGCTTCTGCTGGAGTAATGCAAGGGCTGACATACAGAAGAGGTGCCAATCTTGGGATGCTTATGCGGGCTGAAAAGGATCGTGAAACACAGCCAAGGGAAGATCCAATGTTACAATATAGAAGTGCCTTTTGAATGCATTACCTTTCACATGCTAGGACCTCCGACACAAAATGCTAATAGCAACAAATACATCCTCATTTTCAATCATTACTTCACCAAATGGCCTGAAGTGCCTGATCAAGAGACTGTCTTTGTAGCAGAGGTAATGATATAGTACTTAATTTCCAGTTTCGGAGTGCACGTTCAGTTACATTCTGATCAAGGGAGGAATTTCATCTCGGCTGTAATTAAAGAATTCTGAAAGCTACTTGTCTTCGACAAAATTGGAACAGTACCTCTGCATCCCCTAATCAGTCATTTATGATAGAAAGGTTGAATCGAACCATCCTCTATAACCTCTTTCTGATGGTTTTCAGAAACCGAGAGGGATTCTGATTACATTTTATTGATCTTTGTTTTATTAAATTTTATTTGATCTGAGTAGCCTTATTCTACAATGGACATTTGTAGATTTTTATATAAAGACTTAATATTATTAATTCCGGAATTTTTAACGTTTAATCAGTTAATGTTTGCATTTAATTTTGTTGCTTATGGTTCATTACTAAGTTTATTTGTGTAAATACTATGCACACTGTGCAAATTAAAAAAAAAAGGGGGGGACAGTTTTATATCTCTCTTTCTACTTAGCCGATGCGAAATTCAAATTGTATATTTTATGTCGCGAAAATGCGACTTAGGATATATATTAGATTTGGCATTGTTCTAATATAGCTATTTTGACATAAAATTGGACTTTTTCTGGAATGACATGCCATTCCCCCCATATTTCGATTCTATGACTCAGCTTATGCTTAAATATTAAATTCTGTAAAATTTGGTGTGAAATTTATGAAGAAATTCAAAAATTTATATTGGCGCATTTTTTTTTCAGTTTGCGCCAAGAAAAATTTACTTGGTGAACTTCTTAATTTATACCAACCTATTTTCCTTTATTTTTTTCATTGTAGACGAATGGGGGAAAAGTCACTGTTTTTTACTTTTAAATAATTTTAACAAAGTACATAAATCACATTTGGCTTTATTATCGCTTATGACAAATATGCTAAATTTCAAAATGTGCCAATATGTAAATTCACATATATCTTAAAAAAATTCGATTAAAAACTCTAATTTTTTGCAGGTGCACCTAGAAATACATATATTTTAAGATGATGGTAAAAACTTTATAGATTATAATCCAAGATTTTTTTCAGAAAATTTATAAAAATTGTTTAAAAATATAAATTTAAAAAATAAATCATAAAAAAGGAGCAAATTTTATTTGGAATGAACTTAAATTTCGAATTCTGGAAGAAGGAATCAAGCACGTTTAATAAAAAGATAAATTAATGACTATATACCAAATTCAATTAACATTGAACAGCTAAAATTTTGAGAGCTAATTTTTAAAAAACGACTTGTGCGATTGTTGCAAAACTTGGCAGTTTGGCATAATTTGAGTCATAGAATCAAAGTATGGAAAAAAATTGGTATGTCATTTCAGAAAAAGTCTGATTTGTATCGAAATACCTATATTAGAACAATGCTGTGTATAAATCTAATACATATCCTAAGTAACTTTGGAGACATGAAAAATGCGAGTTGAATTTTGTCAATCTGCTCGGTAGAACAGGAGAATCAAATACTGTCCCACTTTTTATTTATTTTATGCAGTGTACATTGATTATTTATTTTATTTTCTTCATATTTAAATGTACTTAGATAAATGAAAGCTTTCCTTCAATAGATAGGATTTTTTTAGTATAGAAGTATAAAAAAAATTAAAAACTGAAATTAGCCAAAGAACCTAAAATTTAGAATATTCAACTTAGTATATTGTTGTGTTATTTTTTTTCTGACACCAGTTGTTACGTTATTTTCTTCCTTCACGTTCGTACAGGGTTCGTGAGGATTTGGAGTGAGTAACAACGACACTTGATGAAGTATCGAAACACATTTTATTTACCAATATTAATCAGATAGCTTCAAAATCACTTTTACAGTCGTCGAACTGTTATAGACACGCTGACACATTCTGCGACACAGCCTTCACACTGTCAGGCAATAATGGTGGAGACAGCTCCCGACTCTGCTTGGTCGTTCTCGGAACCCCACGTACTTTCGAGACTCTCCACGCTACAACTTGCGATGCACTCGATGATACACAAGAGTATAGCTCTCGACTCAGCACAGTCTAAGACAAAACTCGATGATGTACTATCTCGCGAAGATTAAAAGACTCTCTCGATGCACTCAGCGCTAGACTTCGAGACACTCGCTCAATGACTATCAGCTCGCTAGACTAGGTACACACTCCCACTGACTGCAAACCAGCAGGGTTGATATAGCTTTTGGCTGCTTCGAGAACATTCTGGGCTAAACCAGTAAGAATTCGTTCCAGAAGGTTCTCCATCCGTCCATGGCATATTGCCACTTTTGTCGCCAAATGGACGATTTCTCATCAAATGTGACAACCCTGCCTTTCTTGCCATTTTATGGCAACCCTAAAGCTCCTTTGCGGGGAAACTACCTCACCGCGCCTTTACATTTCGTAACAATATTTTACTTCAGAATTAAATTACAAATAGTTCATATAAAGTTGATTGTCAGTTTGGAATTCCTTTTAAATCGTATCATTGTGTAGCATGAGAACCTTCCTGCTTTTAAGATTTCAAGGTTGGTAACTATATTATAATAAAAATAAAGTTATGTTTTTGTTGAAAATATTATGGATAAATTAAGGTCATAGGCAATGTCGATTTATAAAGCTGTATAAAAATACAAAGCTATCAGCTTATAGTAATTTTAATTTATTTGCATTCTGACAAACATTTATACATGCCTAATATATCATATTCATAAAAATTAATCAGTATTTTGATTAATTTTGAGAATAAGGGAATATAGAATAATCTATAGTGTTATGTATTTTTTTAACAAAATTTTATTTCAGAAATTTAGAAAAAGGAACTAAATTTATACATATGCCTGCAGAAATGACTAATAAGTATTAACTTGAATATTTGGAAGTAGTGCAGTGTATATAAAGTTTGTGAATATCTGTAATCTTAGTCAAAAGAATATTTGCTTGCTTTTATAAATTTTGAACAAAACTTGGAACAAAACTAAATTTTGAACAAAAAATGTATAAAACATATCTGAACATGTATGTTGGCCATATTTTAATTGTTGAGAAACTGTAATTAAATAATTTTTCCCTTTGCAGTTCTCAGAAAAGGGCAATATATGGTAAGTTTTAATTAAAAAAATTAATTTCATTCTCTTTTATTGTAAAAGTTGAACCAAATTATATGTTAAGTTTATTATAGAAGTAATTTAGATTTTCATACATTTCACATTAGTGTCATCATCTTGTTACAAATGTAAATTTCATTTATTTTATGCAATATAAAAGCCATAAGGCACAGCAGCATTTTGAGTAAGAGTGCCATCCATATGTTCGGGATAAGCAATTATTTCAATAATTTTTTCTCTACTGGGTGTATCATAGAAAGAAAGATGCACAATTTTTTATTCCTTTCTGGAAAAAGATGTAGATAGGACATTTTCACCCAGTCATCTAGTAATGATGAACTAAATATCTAAAATGTTTGTTCTTTACTAGTAATCTCTGTGTTTGCCGTGGAGAACCAATTTCTACACGATAATCCCGAAGTGACCTGTGGTGATTGGTTGTTTTATATCATGTGCCAAACCAGAAAAGTTGTATTAAACAGTTGATCTTTGGAAAGGTTTTTAATATGCGATACAACCCTATGAAAGTGTTTGGAACAACCTTTTGGGCAGCTGTTTGCTCACATGTAAATCAGTCATTAATTTCTGAAGTGAAGTAAATGTTGAGTGTTTTGGTGTTCTTCTTTTCTTCGATCCTGAACCACCATATGTATGCAGCACAAATTGGCCAATCAATCTGGGAATTATATTTTTGTAATGAATTTGCTGCTAAACAAAATTATAATTTAAAATATCATTAAATAAAATATAAATTTAGGGTCAGGCCCACTAGCAGCTGAGCACTAAAACTACTGAATACAGGTAGCTTAGTCCAGGTTCAAATCATACTAAAAAGGCTTGCTGAGTAGTTGGGAGTTTTCAAGGTTTTCCTATGCATATGAACCAATTTTCCATGAGTAAAACTTTGACTATTGAGTAAAACTTCTTTGTTTCCATGAGTAAAACATTGAGTAAAACTTCTTTGTTGAGAATATCTAACGAAAATATTTCATTTTTATTCACCTTTATAATGACCCGCCGAGATGATTGTAGATACTCCGAATATTCGGAGTATGATTATGGAATATGATTATTATATATGGAACAATATATGGAATATGATTGTATATACTCCGAATAATAGAAGTGATAAAGCCAAACTTTGTTACGAAACAAATTTATTGATTATTTATTTAAACAACATATTTTATTGATATAATAAAAGAATTTAAACGATAAGAGATTAATTACAATTGCGGTGAGCAGTGCCCACTTCTGCCTCTGTTCGCTGGTAACGCCCGCTCTGTTCTATTTTGAATCATAAATGTTCTTTACTTTCTGATGTTGCCATTCTGGACTATACAACTTTCCTTGTATTCATGACGCCGATACTTACTGAACCATGAAAAGTTTTCCATGAAGGCATCACTTCCTTTAGGCAAATAGTGCTATTGTGCTTTGCCATGGTTCAGGTTAATCCAGTGTAATCTCTTCCAATCAAAATGTATTGCCTTTTTCAATCTATTTTTAACCTATTTATGTTTACATGATAAATTTAACTTTAGTTCACTTTCTAGCTTGAAATTTTATAGTTCTTTATTCTTCATTGAAATTTTGTAATTATCAACTGAAATGCATCATTCTTTAATAGAGCCTATAAATTGAAATAGCTTTAATATAAAATTTTTTGTATAAAAATGCTCAAAGAAAAACATACTTAGTGCCTAAAATCTTATTTTACTTTGCCATGAATTGGACGTTCAATAAATGATTTAATTTTAAGACTGTAATAAGCAGTGAAGACTATGTCAGCTCATCTAAGCATAAAAATTTGATGTTGTGAAGATAGAATAGATAGAATCTGATAGAATTAAACAAAAAAGGAATATTACTAATGTAGTTTGGTTAGAAAAAAAAATAGATGTTCTGAAAAAAATTATCAGAAATAGCAAAATTTTGCCGGGAGACTTACAGTGAACTAAAGCAGAAACTAGAGCTGATACTTTCAATTATCCAGATAACTGGAGAAACAAAAATGTAAGTCAATAATGACCAAAGGAAGGAATAAAACTTTAAAATAAAAAAAGATGGCTATAAATTCAAAACAACATGACTGTTTAGCTGAAAATGCTGGAATTAGCTAAGAACTGCAAATTAAAATAATTTTACGGTATTCAGCTCATGAAATGTTTAATTCTGAAGAGTTAAAATATATTAAAATTAATTATTTAGTGAATTTGATAAATTATTAAGAATGAACTGTTTACCATCTATAGTTGCAAATAAAACTGAAATGCTTTCCCTTATTTCATTATAGGATTTTATATTAATTAACCTGTTACTAAGATCTGAACCTTTATTTTAACTCCTTCTTTCTGTAGTCCTCACCGGAATGCAAATTAATATTTGAATATTTAAGCTGAAATTTAAATACCTTAAGAGTCAGAACTTCTGACAGCCTTACCTTGCAGTTATGTACTAACACCAACTCTTGCAAGTTATTCTGGCTCTACCTTCTTGATAACCGATGTTTAAAATATGCACCGTTAATTATCTTGAGCCAGCTTAAGTAGTCTATTTTGTGTATAGTCTCAGACTTTGTTACTTGCATTGAAATTAACTTCATCTTATGTTCTACTAAACACATGCAAGTAGTGGAGGTTCATCTGTCGGACATGTAGTGCTTTCTGCTCATTTGAGAGTTAAATAAAAGGTGGTGGTGGTGGTGTTGTATTTAATTATGGCAAAGCACACTAGGGCTATCTGCCTAAGGGGAGGGATGCCTTTTGTGGAGGACTTTCTAAGGGAAACTGGCTCGTATACACGTTACACATGGGGAAAACCACGAAAACGCCCATGCAGCCAGCCCGTTCGCGGGGATTCGAACCTCGGACCGAACTACCAGTGTTCAGCGACTTAACCGCTCGGCCGCTGGTGGGCCTGAGTTAAATAAAAGAGATTATTTCAATCTTTTTTATGCCATAGTCGGTTCACTTTAGTTCAGACTAAAGTGACAACTCACTCTGCAGTCATTAAGTTGAGGTCTGCAGGATGTTGAGATAAGCTTCTAGACATAGCAAAACCCTATATTCTGTTTTACCACTAATCAGTTATCTAAAAATGAAGAGAATAAAATTGTAACAGTAGCTGAAATACTCGGCATTGCCCAGGCTTTACGCAGTGTGAAGAGAATGGCATGGCATTTTGTTTATTATTAGTTTTTTAATTTCAGGATAAACAGTGATTTTCCTATTATTTTGGTTCAAAGTGTGAAAAATTTTACAAAATTGAAATAATAATGTAGAAAACTGTAGAACTAATATAGTGCCATTAATGGTTTTAGTAAGAACTGATATTTGCTTTACTATCGATTGCATCCTTTTTGGGAAAATCACCATTCACTTGTCTACCTTCACTGTTTTTGAAATAGTTACGGTATAGAGAATATAGATATAGAATATAGAGAATGTGCATTTAAATTTGCCTTAGAAGGTTCTACACTGTTCTTAAAATAAACAAGCATAGCACCATCTAATGATTTTAGTAAGAACTGGTATGTGGGAACACAACAACAGCAACATGAACATGAGATGGGTGACATGATTTTAAAATTGCAACTGCATAGAAATATTTTTTTGTAAAAAATAATCATAAATTCCTTGTGTAGCATGTATGATTTCTGCTAAGAGTGGGAATGCAACAATGGTGATGTGAACCTAAGATGGATGACATGAGAGCACTGTTCTAATGTTAATGTCCTGAGTGTGGACCCCATTGGGAGACTTTTTTTAAAATCTTATGCAGACAGTTACCTTCCTTTTGCTTTGAATGTTAAGTGTGGCAGGCTTCATCAAGATTAGCATAAAACTGTTAATTTGTATGAATTCTGGACAAACGAACAAGTACTCTTTATTTTATATATAGATTTTTTTTTCAGTATATTACCATCCAGCAACACATCTAAATCTCGCACGATCATTCACTAATGAATTTATTTTCACTTAAATTTTTCCGATATATGTAATTTAATTTAAATCATTACTGAGTAATTTTATTTATTCCTCCCCAATTACTAAAACTAGATTTTACTAAAATAATAAAATCTAGAATAAAATTTTATCAAACTATCATTTTAAACTTATGCCTTGACAAGTATTATAGTATTAGGATTGACAGGAAGAATGTGACTTATTTTGTATTCCTATCTTATAAAGTAATTTTTAATAACTGCTTTTATTGTAAACAATTTGTTAATAATTTTTTATCATGAAATTAAAAGAAATGCCTCATAACGCTTATTTACAATAATTTATTACCAAAGCAAATTATTTTAAAAATCATTTCCATTAAATTTGAAACATAAATAATTCAAATAATTTTATGTATGTTTTCAATGGTGGGTAAACTATAAAATATCTGGAAACATGTTTAAAATATTTTTCAAGAAATATTTTGTGAACAGACCTGCAAAATATCTTAAATTTATTTTTATGAAGAATAAAGTATGATATAATTTTTGTTTATTTTCATAACTTTTTAAAAATAATTGATCACATGTCTATTTCATAACATGAAAATTGTCTCATTGCAGTGCAAACATAAATTAGCAACTCTACTAAGTTCAGCCATGGGATTGTGCAAAGAAGTACAATATTCTGATGAAACTGTTGCCTTGATGCTTGAAGGCGAAGGTTAATTCATACATATCGTCAAACCATATTTCTGCTGCATTATATTTCGGTACAACTTAATGTAAAAATTATTATATTTCTTTTTAAATTAAAAAAAGAAATATCAGTTAATTTTTGTTATGTGTAATTCAGTTTAGCCAGTTCACCATTTGCCCCAAGAAAGGCTCGTTTACAGGAAATGCGTGAAGATGCATTCTCTTCGGGGTGAAATGTGGGCTGGACTGTGACCCCTGACATACATTCGTTGCATCATGTTTTTCCACCCCCCGACTGAGTCAAAAATTAAAGGTGATTAATAGGTTATTGGTTACACTTTATCTCCACAGTGGTATTGCATTAGGATCACAGCAAGCTGTATCAGGAAGGTAAAGGATGGGGGATCACTTTCTCCGAGTGAATAACCCTCTTAACACATCTCGTGACATACACAACAACTTTCTCCCTTCCATTAATGAACAAAGACATTTGAAGGTTTTAAGTGATATCTTTTCAATTCCTAATGATTCCCTGAGGATATAATCTGTATACTATTCTCTGAACTACGAATTACATTGAAATATTATACCTAATGTATGCATTTTATTTTATCATCTTACCTGCACAGATGGAAATGTTATTTGCTTTAAATTTCATTATGACTATGCACCAATTATGAATGATATTATTGAACTGAAATTTTCAAACTACATTTCATTTTTCAAAACTCAAATTATTAATTAATACTTTACTTTTTAATCCATACTTTTCTATTTTTTAAATCTCATTTATTGAGAAAGCTACAGCATTAAAAGTCTTGGCATTAAAAAAAAAAAAAAAAAAAAAAAAAAAAAAAAAAAAAAAAAAAAAAAAAAAAAAAAAAAAAAAAAAAAAAAAAAAACATCAATATGTGGAATTTCGATTGCCTTTTGAATTGAACTAAAAGAAAAAAAGTTTCTTTTAGTTCCTTCCTTCCTAAATGAATAATTATATTTTGTACTAAACATTTTCACTATTACATACTTTTTTTTTTTTATTTCTGTATCTTTCAAATGAGTACCCATAAAAACTAGCTTGTTTCAAGGACATTGCCTCATGCTTTTCCGATTCTTTCAGTACTTCATTGAAAATAATTGACTGCTGGGGTAGCCCACTACTTTGGCTTTGTTATGATTACAATAGAGATCTTTTTTCTCCCCTTTATTTTTACACAAAGGATTAATTGGATTAAAAATATGTGTGAGCCTTATGCTTTTAAACCGGCAAGAGACAGCTGATATACTTTGGTATTATCACAACACCATTCATATAATAGTTCTTCAGACCGAAAACGGATTTCTTCAATGGATTTTTTTTTTATTTACTCTATTTTTTTTACTATTTAATTGCATTGATTTTTCACTTCACATTAATTCTCTGTGAGCATTTATTCCGAAAAAAATTTGGTATAAATTTTATGCTGTGCATATACCTAAAAAATGTAATGGAAAGTGACATTATTAATTAAAAGTATCTTCATTATGGGTGTTTATTTAATAAACTTAAGCTTTTTATATTAATTTGTATTTATCAATAATTAGTCAACTATTATTACTTAACTTTCTTAAACCTTTTCAACATACACCTAAAAAATATAATGGAAAGTTACATTATTAATGAAAAGTATCTTCATTATGGATGTTTATTTAATAAACTTAAGCTTTTTATATTACATTAATTTGTATTTATCAATAATTAGTCAAATATTATTATTTAACTTTCTTAAACCTTTTCAACATCCGAACACATTTGTTTTCCTAGTCTTGACTACTGAGATATGGGTCTAAGATACTTCAGCAGTCTAAGACAGGAAGATTCAAGCGAGCTACCGTACCATCCTGTGATTTTTTTTCTTTCATTTAATTGTTCTCAGCTTGTATACGTTTGTGGACGTAAAAAGAGGAATTTTCAACAAGATCCTTACTTATCCATTATCCAATCAAGTTTCTGAAATAATTATTCACAGCACACTCCCTTTTTCTTCAATTTTCAAAAACTGAACTTGCAGTAGAATTCTACTTTGCTATTGCTACTTTTCATAGTTTTCTTTTCAATTTGTGCGTAATTTTTATTGTCAAACTACATAAAGATTGTAACTAATTTTTATCTAAAATTTATTTATTATTCATTCTAATTTTAATTCAGTAATGGGGTCTTCAAGTGAAAGTGAACTGAGCTGTCTCTCTTCTGAATCCGACGTTGAAAGTGATTCTTCCATAGAGGATATTTCTATGGCAAGAAATTTGTGCAAATTAAACACTGATTTGCACCTCCTGCATCATCGAGGTTTCCATTTACTAAAAAATTAACTATAAAGAAACAAATAAATGCAACAGATCCTCTAGAATATTTCCAGAAGCTTTTTTTTGATGACAATTTAATCCAATATATTGTGGACCAAACCAATTTGCAAACAGCTCAGTTTTTAGATGGTAATGAACTAATTGCAAAATCAAGGTGCATATCTTGGAGTGACACCAATAAAGCAGAAATGTCTGTATTTTTCTCTTTGATGATTGTAGAAAACATTCATGAAAAACCCTAAGAGAGCATGTATTGGTCACAGATACCTGCACCTGAATTATCTATACTTCTCTAAAATTATGAGTGAAAACCGATTCAGATTAATTTTAAAGTTTTTGCATTTTGCAAATAAAACAGATTATGACAATGAAGAAGAAAGGAACAACCCATTAAAAAAGCTGAAACTTTAGTGAATACTATTGTAAAGAATGTCAAAGAGGTTTACACTCTAGAAAGAGACATCCCTGTAGATGAGTCTGTGTTGATGTTTAAAGGAAGACCTGGATGAAAACAATTTATTTCCTCTAAAAGAGCATGCTTTGGCATTAAATTTTTTATTTTATGTGAATCTTTTTTAGGCTATGTGTTAAATTTCACAATTTACACTGGGAAAGAAAACAGTGTATTGGTCTGAATTTGAAAATTTGGGGACAGCCTCCAAATCTGTTCTTACCCTATAAGGTATTTCTCCCACTTCCCTCGCGTGCCTTCGTGGTGTAACGGTAGATTGCTGGGCTGGTATTTCCAGAGGTCCGTGGTTCGATTTCCGGCGAAGGCGGTTGCATATTTTTCATCTTTTCTGCTTCCAATTAACCTAATGACTCTACAAGTGGCACCCAAACTAAAAGGGTTGTGGATGGTGATTCTCCGCACACAGGATTTGGCGACTAGATCCCCTAAAACTCTAGTCGCCCTTTAAAAAGGGGTGTATATAAGGTATTTCTCCCACTTCCCTAGCGTGCCTTTGTGGTGTAACGGTAGCATGCTGGGCCGGTATTCCAGAAATCCATGGTTCGATTCCCGGCGAAGGTGGTTGCATATTTTTCATTTTTTTCTGCTTCCAATTAACCTAATGACTCTACAACCCTTTTAGACGACTATTTTGACAAAGGCTACTGTGTAGCAGTTGACAATTTTTACAATTCTTCCCTTTTGGCAGAAATTTTAATAGAGAAAAACCAACATATATGGAACTCTACGAATAAATTGTAAAGGTGTTCCTGCAGAAATAAGGAACAAAAAATTGGAAAAGGAAAAATGGTAGCTTTTCAAAAAGCAAAGATTCTCATATTGAAATGGCAAGATAAAAAACCAGTAGCTATTGTAAGCACAGTTCATTCCACCAAAATGGTTCAAATATCAAAAGAAATCATCTAAAAAACAAAAGCAGTTGTTGAATATAAGAATACTGTGGGTGGTGTTTACAGAATGGATGCAGCAGTTACAAATTACTCACTTAAAAGAAAACAAAAGAAATATTATAAGAAAATATTTAGACATTTTCTCGACTTCGCTGTCTCAAACTGTTTTCTGTTGTATAAAAAGAATGATGGATAACTTGATCATCTTTATTTCTGCCTAAAATTAGAGGAGCAATTAATGGGGAAAAAAAAAAAGAAATTGCAAAATCTGTATCGGATCAGAATTCTATAGCCCTTTGAGATTTAAAGGAAATAATTTTCCAGCATATGTGCCAACTACAGCTAAAAAGGCTCTTCTGACTAGATGGTTTTTATTTATTGACAGTAACATAAGAACAATGAAAATAAGAGAATAAGAAAAGAAACTTGTTTTTATTGTCAGAAATGTGATGTAGGTTTATGTACAGTCCCATGCTTTGAAATGAGTTATACAAAAGAATAATTTTGATAAATAATATTTTTTGTGACATACCAAGTTACTTTTTTTTTAATGCAAAAGTATTATCTAAAAATGAGAATGCCATTTTTTTATCCTTATTTCAAACAAAAGTGAGGCCCACCAGCGGCCGAGCGGTAAAGACGCTGAACACTGGTAGTTCGGTCTGAGGTTCGAATCCCGCGAACGGGCTGGCTGCATGGCGTTCGTGGTTTTCCCTTGTAAAGTGTATACGAGCCGTTTCCTTAGATAGTCCTCACGAAGGCATCCCTCCCTTAGAAGTAGCATCGTGTGCTTTGCCATAACTGAATAATCCAATCCAATCAAACAAAAGTGAGAGAATATAATTGATATGATGACAGGAAAAAAAAATATATACTGTAGCATAAGGTAACTGGAATACGATTATGACATAAAATATTAACTGTGGGAATTCCAGGAATTATGGTTCATCTGAGAGATCACATGATTCATATACGACTGTATAAATAAGAGAGCAGAGAGAAGTTTTTCAATTACTCTAGCCTCTGGTAAAGAAAATTGAGCTAAGGGAACTAAGAATAAGGAGGGAAAATGTCTATAACAGGTAGGAAATAACTAGTATTATAATAAACAATCAAATGCAGTTGTATCTCATTTATATGACTCTTTATGGAGGTAAACATTTTTTAACCTACATATACCAAAACCTCATGAAATAAATTTAGGTATGTATTTTAGTTCACCTAACTTAACTGTAAGGACATTGAAAAGTTTTTATGAGGATAGAGTTAGAAGATACAATTCTTGAAGCCATTTACTGTATTTGACGGCATATAAGACACACTTTTTTTCCTAAATTTGGTCTCAAAAAAAGTTACCTCGCGTCGTAACGTTAAGGAAACAGGGTTAACTTTCCAATTTACTGAAATGCATTTTTAGCCCGGATAAAGGTC